TTACATCATAATATAATTTTCATTATTTTGTATTCTATAATTGGAGAGCAATCTGTTGAATACAATAAATTTTATTATTATTAAATTTGTTTATTGTTTAATCCACCTTATTCTTTACATAAAGTCGCGATCTTTTCTATAGAACCACTCCCTAGTGTAAATTTTCAAAATTTGTTTGGTGTAAGTGACCTTGACGGGTTTCTGGGGGAAAACATATGTGTCAAAAATTTGACAGGTTAGATGGCCCCATCGTCAATGTAGATATTTTATTTTAATAAATATATGAACAGAACATACAATCTGCACACGACACAGTGCGGCATAGCTGAGGGCAACCGAAACATTCGTGTTGTGCTAATTTCGATTGCCATATCAACTATCGCTACCAACCGCGTTCGGCGTAAAGTACTAGATGACAGGGTTACCAACTTGACTTTTTATCGAGTGGTTCCGTAGAAATGACCGCTACTGTACATATTTAATTCGAACCCGTTCTAGAAATGGTGTGACGCAGTTGTAATATTTCCGCCTTACAGATCCAGGGTTGACCGACTGAAAATCAAGAGTGGCAGATTTTTTTCATTTAAAATAAATTTAATACGATTAATCACTCTTTAATTTTTATTGATAAAATTAAAAACGAGTCACCCCATTTTCTCGAAAATGTGAGAGTACACACGTCTTTATTTAAAAATGATAAAATCAAAATAGTAATAGTAATATCTGGAACATTTTGTCCGATTGAGGGTTAATTTATAATTTTAGTCTTCTGTTTTAAAGTGACAAACGCATTCAATTCAAACCCATTTCTACGTGACATTCTTCCGATGTATAAACATAAGCACTTGAAGTTAAGTAAATATGTTATTATTGCTAATAGGCCATTTTTTTCCCATTGGTTATCTGTGGCATCCTCTTGCAAGAGGGATTTGTTGGATTTGTCTATCAGGCGCGAGGGAAGATAATCTCCGAAACTACTACACCAATGCTCCTCAAATTTTATGTGTATTTTAGAAGCATCGTATAAATGGTAAAATGCTAACCGAAATTTGTTTAAATATCTCACCACCAAATTGATGACGTCTTTTCATTATATTGCGTAGTTAAGCTACTAAAATTTGATGAAATAATATACTCCTGCACTTGCGGTTATGAAGGCTCCATGATTTTTAGCACAATTTCCTCACAAAATTTTTGTGTGCAATATTTCCCACGTGGTTTATGTAGCCGATTTTTTGATTCTGCATTAAGTGCTTGGTGGTTCTGATGAATTAAATGCTGATTTTGGGCTTAGAAACTGTTTTTTCTTCACTGTGACGCAATTTAGGATATTCACCAATATTTATGTTTTGCTTAAGGTAATCCTCTAAGGAGTACTCTTAAAGATCGAGTAATTGCTCCACAATGCTGATGATTTAAAATTCCTCGGCAATTCTAGAAAGCATAATTCAGAAAAAAAATTAATGTTCTTCCCGTTTCGCCATGCTATAAATTTGTGGTACGTGTTCTCATAACAGTTTTGTGACGAGATATTTCAATAAATTCGCTTTCACTCTGGAAGTCACGGCTCTTCGTAATTTGATTGACTGATTCATTAATTCTTTTAGGTCAGCCTGTATAAGCAGATCTAAAAAATATGAATGAAATGATAAACTACAAATATAGTCTGATAATATTTTGCACATTTTCGAAAGGATTTATTCGGCAAAATTTTGAGATGACGTAATCAATTTTTTGGGGTTGATAAACAGATACATTTTGATTAAAAAGTTAAGATTCTTATAATAACTTCAAAACGTCGGCAAGATTTCAAAGTTTTCAGTTTTGCAATTCTTGATTTAATCAATAAAATAAATTGACTCAGTCATTATTTTTTGAGACACCCCGTATAAGCAAATTCAAAAAATTTAATGTAGTGATAAATCACAAATATTGTCTCATCATACTTTGCACATTTAAGATAGGATATATTCAGCGAAATTGTGAGGTGATGTCAAATTTTTTAGGGAAGATGAAGAAATACATTTTGACAAACCATGCCTTGATAACATCTCCAAGATTTGAAAGCATTCGGTTCTGTAGTCCTTGATTAAATCAATAAAATAAATTCCCGCATTCATTAATTTTTTTGAGTCACCCTGCATAACCAAATCCAAAACATTTGAATGGAATGATAAATCACAAGTATTGTCTCATCATATTTTCTGCATTTTAGACAGGATTTATTCACCAAAAATTTGGGGTGACGTTATAATTTTTTAGGTGGGGTGACCAAATACATTTTGGTCAAAAATTTACCATGCTTATGATAACTTTACAACACCTTCAAGATTTCAAAACATTCGATTTTGTAGCTCCTCAGTAAAACAATAAAATAAATTTACGCATTCATTAATTTTTTGAGTCACCTTGTATATGCAACTCCAAAAAAATTGAATGGAATGATAAATCACAACAAGAGACTCATCATATTTTGTACATTTTAGATAGGATTTATTCAGCAAAATTTTGGGCTGACGTCATAATTTTTTTAGAGGGGACGAGCAAATACATTTAGATCAAAAACTTACCATGCTTATGATAACTTTAAAACATCTTCAAGATTTCAAACCATTCGGTTTTGCAGTTCCTGAGTAAATCAATAAAATAAATTTACGCATTCATTAATTTTTTTGAGTCACCCTGTATATGCAAATCCAAAAAATTGATCTAAAGAGTTTAGACAGTACTTCCCTCGTTGTCGGAAACGTGACGACTGCATGCCTATTATGTTTTTTTCGCATTAGATTTGAAAGCATTCGGTTTTGTAATTCTTGATTAAATCAATAAAATAAATTTGCGCATTCATTAAATTTTTTGAGTCACCCTCTATATCCAAAACCAAAAAATATGAATGGAATGATAAATTACAAGAAGAGACTCATCATATTTTGTATATTTTAGATAGGATTATTCGGCAAAATTTTGAGCTGACGTCATCAATTTTTTGAAGGGGATAAGCAAATATATTTTTACTAAAAATTTATTCTGCTCTTTATAACCTTAAAACATGTGCAAGATTTCAAAGCATTCGGTTTTGTAGTTCCTGATTAACTCAATAAAATAAATTCACGCATTCATTAATTTTTTTGAGTCACCTGTATATGCAAATCGAAAAAATTTGAATGGAATTATAAATCACAAGAAGAGACTCACCATATTTTGTACCTTTTAGATAGGATTTATTCAGCAAAATTTTGGGGTGACGCCATAATTTTTTTAGAGGGGACGACCAAATACATTTTAATCAAAAATTTACCATGCTTATGATAATTTTAAAACATCTTTAAGATTTCAAAGCATTCGGTTTTGTAGTTCCTGAGTAAATCAGTAAAATAAATTTACGCATTCATTAATTTTTTTGAGTCACCCTGTACATGCAAATCCAAAAAACATCAACGGAGTGATAGATCACAGATAGACTCATCATATTTTGTACATTTTAGATCGGATTTATTGCAAACTTTTGAGCTGACGTCATCAAATTTTTGAGGGGATAGCCAAATATATTTTGACTAAAGATTTATGATGCTCTTTATAGCCTTAAAACATCTGCAACATTTCGGAGCATTCGTGTTAGCAGATTCAAAATTAAATTGCAAAATGTTGTTTTATAATTTTGATTTTTTTTCCAAATCGTTTTGGGTAAAAACTCAATTCGGAGTCGTAAACTACATGTGTAGGACTATGTTATTTTATACAATTTAAAACCCATTTACTATGTACAATTTTGAAGTCACGTCATCGCATTAGTGGTGGGGATGATTAGACAAATTTTGGTTAGCGTTTTACCATCTACATTACATTCCTAATATAAATACAAAATTTCACAACAATCGGTCCAGTACTATCGGAGATTATCTGTCTAATAAAAATCGTGACGGCAGACAGACGGACAGACGGACAGACAGACGGAAATGGGAGACCTATTTCTACGTCTAGGGGTCATGAAAGATCGAGAAAACGTAAAAGTAGAGAGTCGGCCAACAGACTCCTTTACAATACTTCCATTGCTTACGCTCGGGAAGTAAAAATACAATAAACGACATTAATGTTTTCTTTTCAGTTTAACTTTCTTTAATACGAACTTTCTGTAAGTCGAACTTTTTTCGATAGCAAGTGACGATTCGACGAGGGGAAGTCGACTATAAGTATTTTATTGATTAAATCAAAAACGACTCATTCCATTTTCTCGAAACTTTGGGAGTATAGTACTATTATTATTGATATTACACTGCGTCTAACCATGGTAAAAGAAGGCAAGGTATGCTACTCCGGTGGATGAATTTTCGTCTGCTTTGCGCACCAGCCACGTAAGGTCACATTGCCTTGAAAACCGTACTCTCTTGTGACAACTTCTAAAGTTGTCAAATGTCAATTTATCAGTGATCTGTGAGGTCATAAAGAAGGTTGAGATTCGGTTCAATTTTTAATCATCAAATTTTATCAATTATCTTCGAAGGTGCTAAGTTGAATCAGATTCTAATAACATGTGTTCAAAATTTGGTATCTTTCGTTGATCGTGAAAATATGAACATGTAACAATCCAGAATTTAAAGTTGGCGGTCATGACATCCACATGACGTCACACAAAATGCGCAAATTTCATACCATGTCTTCTTGTACCATGCATCGATCCAAGTTGATATACGCTTTCTTGCAAAAATGTTAATGTCATGCCAAAATTTTGTAATGGAAGAACTCACTTGAAATAAACACGTAGCACGCTTCTTTACCTTTATTTTAACAATACATACATATCTCTATTTTAACTTATACGGGTTATCATAAAAAAGTATCATTTTTCGAAAAATCCTAATTTATTGTACTGTACTTCAGGGGGGAGCGAAGTTCTTTCGCAATAACCTTCGATCAATTTTTGCATATACCGTCGGTTACCGGTGAGTTTCCAAAATCAAAAATTTCAAGCTATTTAACAATCTTAAAGTACGCAAATTTACCTTAGCACTGGACAAATTCAGAAAAGTAAGTTCGGATTCTTCTCCATTAAGCATGATCGAAACTGTCTCCAATCCTAATGCGTCTGGAAAGAATGTAAATACAGTTAAATTTTGTTTGAACAAAATAAAAATAAATAATTAAAAATATAACTTCGTAGATTATATATAAAATTATGCAACATAACATACATATGAACATAAGCTAAAGATAACTTTGTCCCTATTATTTTTTCCAAACAATTCTCGTATTTATTGATCTTTATGCAACACTAATAATCAACACTTAACCAGGCACTTGGATGCAAAGTTTACAAAAAATGTGAAATCAGCGCGAGTTATAGCAACCACAATTTGTTGCTGAAGATATTCTCAGACGATGTCGACTTCACACAAACGAGTTGCGGTGAATCGAATATTAGTTTTAATAAACACCCAATAAATAAACATACCACAATTTCCTTTAGAATAGGTATAAATAATCGTGTGTAAATAAAATTAGTTTAGTTCTGACTTATATTCTTAAATTCTTGACCCTGCTGCCGTAGTGAGTCCTGAAAACGTTGTTAGGATTGGCCGTGCTGTTGGTAATCGACCTCGTCTACTCAGAATAAAATTTAAATCTGTGGAAATGGCACGTACTGTTCTAAGGAAAAAATCTTCATTATCCAAATCTAAATACAAGCAAGTAATTGTGCGGGATGATAAGACACCAAGGCAGTTGAAACATTTACAAGAACTACGGGAAGAGTTACGTTGTCGTAATGCACATGGTAATAAGTACACTATTAAATATATTCATAACATCCCTCAAATTGTTGAGTCGGTAATAGAAAGTAGTTTAAACTAAGTAAATCCAACAGAACTAAGAATCTGCATATTTATTATCAAAATGTACGTGGTGTTCGATCTAAAGTTAATGAAGTGTATGAATCTTTGACTGACAGTGAGTACGATCTTGTATGTTTCTCTGAGACATGGCTGGATACTTTCGTCAAGAGTACTGAACTTATTCCTTCCAACTATATGGTGTTTCGTGCTGACAGGAATTTTGAAGCTACAAGCCGCACACGGGGAGGGGGAGTACTAATAGGAGTTAAAAACAAATTTGCTGTTACAAAACTTGATTTATCTAATTTTCATAAACCAGCTTTAATTGATGTAGTTGCCTGTAGAATTGCTCTTCAACCTAAAGATCTTAATATTTTTGTTGCTTATTTTCCACCTGATATTACGGCAGCTGAGTTGGAACTCTTCACGGATTCATTCGAAAATATTGTGCAGAACAGTTCTCATATTTTGTTAATTGGTGATTTCAACATGCATAGTTTTACGACAAGAGTAAAAGATTCTAAAGCTCAGCTACTTCACAATATGGTGTCATTTCTGAATTTAAAACAGTTTAATTATATTAGTAATGTAGATGGTCGATATTTAGATTTAGTATTTAGCACCCTTAGGAATTGTGAAATACATCATGATAAATGTCCTCTTACAAAAGAAGACAAGTATCATCCTAGTTTAAGTATTGACTTAAATAGTAAACAAGTTTCCTACAAAAAATTTCCAGTTTACTCTAGAACAAAAAATTACAACTTTAACAGGGCTAACTATCCATCATTGTATACTGCTTTGTTAGGTATTGACTGGTCGTTTTTATGTAATATTCTTGACACAAATCAGGCCTGTGACGCTATGTATCAAACACTACATGCAATTTTTGACGAGCACGTACCGACTTTTAAGTGCAGTAAGTACAAGTACCCTAACTGGTATTCTGCAGAACTGCGACGTTTAATTCAGTTAAAACAAAAACTTTTCAATAAGTATAAATTGCGAAAGTGGGATAAGAGTGTTTATGAGGAATTTTCAACTATTAGACGCATTGTTAAGCAAATAATTCGTCGTGATTTTAGATTATATCTTAAGGCTGTGCAGAACTCGTTAAAGCAGAATCCTAAATACTTTTGGTCATACATTAAGGAAAAAAAGGGTTATACATCTGTACCAGCTCAGGTAGAGTTTTTAGGGGTTTTATATGATAAGCCGTCAGAAATTGTGGATGTTTTTTCAAATTTTTTTAAAAGTACATTTAATCATGTTTCACAGCATTCGTTACACATTCCCAATGATACAATAGCTTGCAGTTACGTATGTTTAGCAAAAGAGATAACGGAAAAAGATCTACTGGAAAGTATCAAAAAACTGAAAAGCAATAAAGTTGCAGGGGTAGATCAAATTCCGAGCTTTTTAATAAAAGATTGTTCTGGTGTCTTAATAAAACCGCTATTACATATTTTCAATCTGTCTCTTAAAAATTGTTGCCTGCCAGACCTTTGGAAAATTGCAAAAATCATACCAATGTTTAAGGGTGGAGAGTCAGCTAAGGTTTGTAATTATCGCCCTATATCGTTATTGTGTAATTTTTCAAAGATGCTTGAATTTATAATTTATAAACAAATTTATTTTCAAATACAAAGTCGACTATCACCTGTTCAGCATGGCTTCACTGCTGGTAGATCCACTAGCACAAACCTCGTTTGCATGTCCCAGAATATTGCTGAGACATTGGACAACAAAAGTCAACTTGACGTCATCTACACCGATCTCGTTAAAGCATTTGATAAGGTAGACCATCAAACATTAATCAATAAGCTTGCGAACATTGGTTTGTGTAACTCATTATTGAATTTCCTTATCTCGTATTTATCGTCGCGAAAAAATTATGTTTTTAATAATGGCTACAAATCAAATTGCTATATTGCATTGTCAGGTATTCCACAAGGATCTACATTAGGACCCTTATTATTTTCATTATATGTTAATGATGTAGTAACTGTATTTAAACACTCTCAGGTTCTCATGTTTGCAGATGACATAAAAATATTTCGCAAAATCGTAAGTTTTCCTGACAGTTTGTTACTCCAAGAGGATGTCAATAACTTTTTCAACTGGTGTAAAGATAATTACTTTTCAATTAATATTGACAAATGCAAGATTGTTACGTACAGTTTATGCAAAACACCTGTTATCTTTAACTATACAATTAGTGGCAATGCGATATCGAGATGTTCAACTGTTAAGGATTTAGGAGTGTTATTTGACAATCAATTTTCGTTTAATTTTCATATAGAATACTTAGTTTCAAAGTGTATAAAAATGTCAGGTTTTATTTTGAGAAACTGTAAAAGTTTTAGTGATATTCAAGCACTTGTTACTCTTTTCTTTGCATTGGTACGTTCTAACGTACAATATTGCTGCGTTGCGTGGTTCCCTTATTACAACAAACAAATTATATTACTTGAAAGTGTGCAACGGAAATTTTTAAAACATTTGTATTACAAAGATGTTGGAACCTGGCCAAAGAGAGGATATTCTTACACATTGTTGCTGCAAAAATTTAACTTTGATACACTCAATAATGGCAGAATATTAGCAGTTTTAACTTTTTTGTATAAATTACTTAATAATCACATAGACTGTAGTTCACTGTTGTCAAAGTTAAACTTTCATGTACCGAGAGTTAACTGTAGATACGCTGTAACACTATATTGTCCTAGACCTCGCACAAACATTGGCAGAAGAGCTCCAGTATATTTATTTTGTCATTACTTAAATATGGTTGAAAGTTCTAGTGATTCGTGGGATATTTACTGCAGCTCTTTGTCGGAGTTGCGTTCACATGTGCGTCGTCGATTTCAAGTGTGTATGTAGATAGTGAGATATGCTCTATAATTTTTCTATTGTTTTATTTTTTATTTTCTATTAGAAGGTAAATGGTGGGATACATATTTTGTTTATTTTTCTATTGTACTATCTCTATAATTGATAGTTTCTTTATTGAATGTAATTTACTTTACTTTATTTTTCTTTTTATGTGGTATGCTAAACGTGATTTTTATTTTTATTTTTTGCTATATATTACTATTTTTGTTTTCTTTTATTTTTATTTTGTTTAATTGGAAATTGTCCAGTAAGTGGAATATTTGTTCTGTTGGACAATAAATTATATTATTATTATTATTATTATTATTATTAAATTCGACCAGATCGATTACTTTATTCTCCTAGACAAACTGCGCCAATTTGGCTTCTCTGAGTCATTACTTAAACTATTCAAGTCGTACCTTATTGGTAGAGTGCAGTCAGTACGATATCGTAACTTCTATTCAGAAATATATTCACCGACATCTGGAGTTCCTCAGGGATCTAATTTGGGACCACTTTTGTTCTTATTGTTCATTAACGACATTGTTAAACATATATCTTCTGAAAAGTTGTTAATTGCAGATGACTTGAAATTGTTTTTTGAAATTAACACTATTGATGATTGTAGGATTTTTCAAACCAACATTAATATAGTGAACCAAGAGTTATAAGGTTATATGGCCATCATAAAATCATCCCATTGTGTCGAAGTTAACCGGTAAGCTTAGTGCGAACCACACAAAGGGGGTATTTATTTGCGGTCAACTACTTTTATGATGGCCATATAACCTTATAGGTCTTGGTTCACTATACTATAGTCGAGTGGTGCAACACTAATCGTTTATCACTAAATAAAAAGAAATGTTTTGTAGTTTCGTATACTAAAAAACAGGAACCTATTATCTTCAATTATAATATCGATGCAGTTACCCTAAATCGTGGAGAAAAGTATAAAGACCTTGGAATCACCTTTGACAGTAGGCTAATGTTTAATGATCATATAACAGAAATAGTGTCAAAAGCTTACAGGATGTATGGTTTCATTTACAGAAATTGTAATGATTTTCTCAACATCTCTACTCTTTGCAATAACAAAATAGACTGTATAATTCTCTTAGATAAAATTCGTTTCGTTGTACCTCGTGTTTATTCTCGACAGTTTTTAACATTTTACTCATTAGCAACCAGAACAAATGTGTTACGTAGATCACTTATAATTCTCATGTGTGAACTATTTAATCATATATCTAAATTTTGCGACATAAATGCTGATAGTTTAGGTACTGTTATTCAAACCATTTATAAAGTCTACTGTAATAAATAATTTATTTTGTCTTTTGCTCCGATCATAATATTATAGTTGAACCATTAATTAAAA